GATAGAAAACATCTTAAAGGTTATACACAAGAAGTAATTTGGCCCTACTTGCTAATTTGACTGCTGGTAGATATTCCAAAATCTTATCAAGATGCATATTTAATTTCCTTTACTGTTGTTACGGTTTTAATCACTCCTCATGTTTCTTTCCATCACCTGAAAATTTAGCATATTTACTGTAAGTATTCAGGAATCTAGATTGTTATTATGAATGAGAAAGAGCAGTGGCACTAAAAGAAATCTCAAAGGGTCAGTTTCCACAGCTTGCCTGGTCCCTTTATTTTATATAGCCACTACACTTTGTTTAGACATGTGTCTCCTGTCTCAGCACCCATAATCGCCAGATCTAACTCCTCTCTGGATTTTGATGTTTGATTCTTTCTAATCCATCAGGTTGACTTTATCACTACCATTCAGGATTTTGAAAATTATAATAAAACACTTCTCAAGCTCTTCACTACAAACAGATTCAGTTCCTTTAGCTTCCCTGAATCTGTGTAGGAATGTATGCATATTTTTGCTTTAAAAATTCACCTTCCAGTAGTACGACATTCCAAAGCACAAGGCAGAAGCTACTGTGGAATAAGAAAGTAAATGTCCAATGAGTTGCCCAATCAACGTCCTGACTTGAATCCTATTGAAAATCTGGGGAAACACTTATGTATGCATTAAAATGGGTGTACATTAAATTATACATACCTTAGTGGAAAAATATTAGATTTAAATGTCTTTTGTTTTAGTTTGATTAAACGGTTCTTATTGCAGCATGTTCTTTTCACCAGTGTCTCTTAGGCTTCAGTGTTAAGTGCCTACAGCCACTCCTATTTTATAGAGACAGTGTTGTGTCAAACACAAAGTTACACTTTCCACTGTTGTCACCACCCTGCCACACCTCTACTCAGTATTACTGAGAGATCAGATGATCAGAAAGCTAACCCTTTCAAGAACCTGTCTGTGTAAACCAGTAACAAATACTGCATGGTGGACTAGATAATTGTGAAGACTAAAACAAAGAATGGATTTTGGTAGCGTAGTGTTAAATATAGTTTGACTTCAGCCTCTTATCCCCAGATAAAAGCTTCTCAGGAATGCTGCTTTTCTCTAGTCATGCCAGCTCAAGCAGATTCCATGTTTAAATAATGAAATAATTCTGATGCGCACAGCCAGGAACCCAGACAGAGTATTGCTGTGATGTACAGGATAACAAAAAAGAGGAAAACAGTAGTGCTATTATTAGCACACAGGGAAACTCCCTGTGGGGCCACAAAAAAATCAGATCTCATCTGGCTCTTAAAAGCACAAATGGAAAAAGGCAAGTTCCCAATTTCATTCTAGTCTCTGAGATTCCCTCTCAGTCCCTATCAAACCAACTAGGGCTGTCTAAATCCTTTGCCCTTTCTTGAAATTTGTGTGATGACATACATTTTGAAAAGGGATCATGTCTCTTTATGAGAAGGTGGAACCCATTATTCTAGACTTGTAGTCATTGTAGAATTTCCCTTTCCATTATACCTTCTTAAAAAAACATTTTTTTAATGAAAATACATATCCTGGGATATATCTTAATATTAACCAAGTTCTCAGAAATCCTTTAAAAGATAAAAGAATGATCAATACATAACCCCCTTTGTGAGGATGTATAACATAAGAAATAAAAGGGCAAAATAGAAAGTGCATTGAGAAAGGGATATAGAATCTAAAAAACCTGAACTGGAAAAATCATAAAATAAAAACATGCTGCACAGATTTTAAGGCATTTCCTTTTCTGCATTCAATTGCCAAGAATGGCAATATTTCTCACTTTCAGTGAATGAAAGCTGGTTTCCTCTGCTGTTTTAAACAAACTACACAGCTCTTACCCATGTAAGTTTGTGTGCTTGTAATGTATAACAGGTTGAGCTGACAGTAGCTCCAAGGCTCTGGGGACATCCCGGTGATGTAGTAATTGACTGCAGTCTCACTCCCACAGATTAATGACAGGCTGAAGTGCTAAAAGTGTACTCTGCTTTTCTGATGCAATGTGTTAGCAGCACCCAGTGTTGCTCTGAATGGTTATTTTCTGTCCTTTTATATTTAATATGAAGGTACTATTCTTGTCCCAAAGCTGTCAGCCAATATAACTTTTTCATATTTCTATACACTGTTTAACTCATGTAAGTCTAAATATATAACTGATACTTAAAGACAAATACATATGTTTAATAGCATAACTGTGACGTTACGTAGATAATGCAGGTTCTTTGTATGTTATTTTTAACTGTTCATGATTCTCTTTGGACAGATTCCTAAATAGCTTAAGGACATTTTGTTTGATTTTATTAAACAGGTTTATTTTTATGTAAACTGGAATTCTCGAATTACGGTTTAGCAAAATATATATATATACAGTACCACAACAATTGTCACAACAATAACATTCAACATATAACATACCTAAATAATTTCTACTTTGTATTCTGTTTTCAACCAACTTAATGCATAATTAAATCATACAAATTATTTTTACAATCGCTTTTTGTAGGAGAATGCCACTGAAAAAATCTTGTATATTCTTGGCTAATATTGAAATTGTAAACCCCTCAGCTCACCAGAAGATACTGTGATGGTAGCGTCATAAGAAGGCTGCACACTGGTGACCGACAGGTGATCTCTGAGTCATCCGGATAATGTACCACTTTCCATCATACATCCTTAAAGCAGCAAATTTAAGATACCCGTGGTTCCCAATGAGGCTTCAAGTCACTGATTCTGGTGATCTCATGTGTTGCCTGTCTCAATCAGGGTCCAGAAGGGTTTTTTTTGCATAAAAAGAAATGCATTCGATGGTTGAGTATCAATAAATAACATCTAAGCTGCAAATCCCCAATTATGTTTTACCTTAAATTAAGTGGAAGCTTTTCTATAATGTGGATTTCAAGTGATACCTTAATGAAAGAAGACAGTCCAACAGGACCTTACTGTCCTTTGGTCATTTTAGGAAAATTAATAAAATGAGAAAAACATAAACTGGTAAAATGATTGTATCTCATTCACCAACAATACTGAAATAGATCCTTAATGTTTTGTAACTCTCTTAACCCTCATATTTTCAACCGTGTATTGTTTTGGAGGACTAAAAGAAAGTGCATTTGAGACTATGAATAAGTAGAAGAAGGAAATTTGAGGAAAAAATCAACTTAAAGTGATGAGACAAGGATGGCAGCAAAGGCCAAAGGATGATCAAACAGACAATGTGAAACAAGCAGGACACATTGACATAGTGGCTGAGACGTTATTAATTATTCAGTTCCCAGTTCTGTACTAGCCACTGGGAGCTGGTCCTGACAATAAACTGGAGAAAGCAGGCAAAGTTTAAGACTTGCCACAGGGCTATGGACCATTCTTGTAAAACATACAAGGAAATTAGATGACAGATCTTCACTGTGCCATTTCCCCTTCTTTTCTTCTAAGCCACTCTTCACTGTCACAGTGGGCTCTTTCTATTTATGCTCAAGGACCCATGGAGACCAGCATGCTGCAGTTCCTATGAATTACCATCAGGGTTAAGTTTCTTTGTTTGGAAACTTGTCTTGATTACATAAACCCTCAATTAATTCTTTATCCATGTTTTAAATCCACAAAAACAAACCTCATGGGTCATCCTGATACTTCCTCTTCCTCAGTGTGAGAGTTTGTCTAAGTGTTCAGAATGTGACTCAACTTACAGTAGTTTTGATATTTTGAGTGGGTCAAGTATCTAAACTGAGCAGAACAGCATTCTACACAAAACCAGGCTCAACCTGGTAGATACTTGGATGGGTGACCTTGAAGGAAAACCAGTTTACTTCTGTGGGTGATGTTGATACAGTATGTGGAACTCTTCCCTTTGGAACACACTTTCCAAACCACTCTCCCACTATAAAAACAGCTTTGTAGGAGGTGGCATCCTGTAATGTTAAATCAAACTCTCTTTATAAGAGTAGAGGTATTAAACCTGTCTAAATTCCATTTTTTGCTTTCACAAGTGGTCTATGTAAAATTTATTTTTAATTTATATGATAAAGGCACTTCTAACTTACTAAGAAAAATCACTGATACTCTCCTATGAAATGATTTGGGTTCCTTTAAAATCACAAGCACTATATAAATGCATTAAGGAAATGTAGGTAATAGGGAGTATCTGTAATTCCACTCTCTATATTACTCTGGTTGCACTATTTATTTTGACTTTTGTTTCAGACAGAACTAACACTACTTACAAATTCTGTTCTGCTTTAAAACAAATGTCTACCACTACTTTGTGCTTCTCCATCTAAAAATAATTACTACTGGTTCAGGTTAACTATAGTCTATATAAACTTGTCCGTTCTGCTTATGTCCATTGGTTTTAACTTCCCCTTTTTGACTTGTATGCAATGTGTTCTTCTGTGGCACTTTTATGTCTAAAATCTCAAATAGTTTGCACCTTTCTGCCACATTCATAAATTACATTCAAGCCCTGCTTTTTATAACCTGGCTTTTAATTGGTCTTATGTTTTACCCCTGCCAAAACCTTCTTCTTTTGTTCTCTTTCAGTTTAAGTGTGCTATACTGAGCCACAGCTCTCTGGTTTAAATTTATGAACAACAACCTTCTGCATTCCACACCTTACCTATTAACGTAAGGTATTTATTTTTAGGGATGACATTCACAGTCTTACACAAGCTCACACAGAACACACATATATTGTCTCACCACTGCTGCCTCCTGATTATTTCAGAAGAGACCTTGGTATCTAAGGAACGAGTTATTGGGCACATAAGCATCTGTGTACGTCACATCTTCAAGCACACCAGTGCCTTTCTCTGCCAAACAGTCCAAAAACAAATCCTTACGTTGAGCTTAGACATGTATCCTGAATCTTTTTCTTCTCTTTGTTTGCAGTTCTAAGGGAGAGACGATCAGAGCTCTGGATTTCTCCTCACTGGTGCTCAGTTTTATCATATTGCTTCTCTTCTGTGGAGCTTTGGATCACTCGCTTTTTTATATATTTTTTAGACACTTTTTGGCTTTTTTCTTTACTGATTCTGCCACCCTGGGCTGGGTAGGGCAGCTGATATGTGCAGCTGGAGGGTGATGGAGGTTGCACTCGTAAACTTTGAGAACACCGATGATATCGAAATTGGGATGGGTGATTCTGGGGATCCAGAGTACTCTGGCTACATGAGTGAGAAGACGGCTCTAACCACTAGCATCCCGGATCAGAGCCATGGAAACAACCATTTACCTAACCAGCAACCTCAGTCATCACAAACCACCCAGTCAAGGAGGGGACGACCCAGCAGCGCCAGCCTCATGTCCAACTGGAAACTTCTCTTAAATAGTGAAGTCACACAAAATGAAACCATCTTTAGCAGACTGGCCAAGGAGTGTGGTGAAGACTTCCTAGACAAGGGTGGGTTGGATGATGGAGATCAGAAAGTCATTATCAACATTGCTGGCTTGCGTTTTGAGACACAACTCAAAACTCTAGACCAGTTCCCAGAGACCCTGCTTGGAGACCCCCAAAAAAGGATGGAGTACTTTGACCCCATGAGAAACGAATACTTCTTTGACCGCAACCGACCCAGTTTTGATGGAATTCTATACTATTATCAATCTGGGGGGAAAATTCGCAGACCTGCCAATGTCCCAATAGATGTTTTTGCAGATGAAATAATTTTCTATGAGTTAGGTAATGAAGCCATGGATCAATTCCGGGAAGATGAAGGTTTCATCAAAGATGTAGAGGTAGCTTTACCCACCAATGAGATTTATCGTCAGTTTTGGCTCCTGTTTGAGTACCCGGAGAGCTCGAATGCAGCCAGGGCTGTTGCTTTGGTGTCTGTTTTTGTCATTATTATTTCTATAGTGATCTTCTGCCTGGAGACCCTCCCCGAGTTCCGTGAAGATCTGGAGTTTATACCCAGAGTTGTGCAGTTGCTCAATCAGACCCAGGAGGAGTCTACCTCTGCTCCGTTCCCCAGTCCCACTCCTAAAACCATCTCAAAGGCTTTGTCAGATCCATTCTTTGTCATCGAAACAGCATGCATCGTCTGGTTTTTCTTTGAACTTTGTGTGCGCTTTCTGGTCTGCCCCAGCAGGCAGGAGTTCTTCCGCAACATCATGAACATCATTGATATTATTTCCATCATCCCATACTTTGTCACCCTCATCACAGAACTTCTAACAGATCCAGATACCAGTGCAGGTCAAAACATGTCCCTTGCTATTCTTCGCATTATCAGACTGGTTAGAGTCTTCCGTATCTTCAAGCTGTCACGACACTCCAAGGGGCTTCAGATTTTAGGACAGACCCTAAAGGCCAGCATGAGGGAGCTGGGTTTGCTTATCTTCTTCCTCTTTATTGGAGTTATTCTTTTCTCCAGCGCTGCCTACTTTGCTGAAGTAGACGAGCCCCAGACTCAGTTTACCAGCATCCCTGAAGGCTTCTGGTGGGCTGTGGTTACTATGACCACAGTGGGTTATGGTGACATGTGCCCCATAACTTTGGGGGGTAAGATGGTGGGCACCCTGTGTGCCATTGCTGGTGTTTTGACCATTGCTCTGCCTGTTCCTGTCATTGTCTCCAACTTCAATTATTTCTACCATCGCGAGACAGAGAATGAGGACAAACCATCCCTTCCTTCTGAGCTAGAAGCCTCCCTGAAATCATCCGTGACCGCCAAGCAAGGGAGCACCACCTCCCTCAATAAACCCAACGGCACCTGGATGAATGATAAATCTAAAAATGGCAAACCATGATTAACACTCTGTGGATGTCTGATGACGGACACATAAAACCTATATACAGTAATCTAACCTCCATGTGGTTCTATTTGTATCTTTGAGTCCCCTCTAGAGACTATCTAGAGAAACAGGTAATTCATATTAAATTTTATATTTGTTGCTTGTTAAATCTCTGCTTGAGTGTTCTGATAATAGAAATGCTCAGCTCCTTCTAATAGGAGTACGGTTGTTGCCTTTGATTTGAGTTATGGAACTAATCAGAGGGTATATTCATTGGATTTCTGCACATTTATTTCCTGCTGGCTGAACATAAAATCAAAAGAAGTTATTTTAGTGAAAGGTCTATTTTAGATTTAATTCCTAATTATATTAATCCTTGTTAGTGAATTGATTATAACAAATGCTAGTTCCAGTTGTCGGAAGTCTTCTCAGATTTCTATCTTGGTTCATATGAAATGTTTGTGCATTTTTCCCACACAAATTGTATGTATTAAAAATATCTTTAAGAAAATAGATATCCTATAATGGACATCTATTAGTTTGTGAATCAGATTATATAAGTCTTAAGTGATAATCTATAAAAAGTTGGTATAATATTCCAAAAAAGGGTCATTAAAACAGAGGTTTGTTCAAATGTTTTAAATATTTACACATCTGTTGAAATTAATGTTCTCCCTGTATACATATTTCAGATGTGGTTTGTTTGAAAAAATACAAATTACACTCTGTATGAAATCTACAAGTGTGTTCCATATGTTCTTTCTGGATGTGTATTTTTCGCCATAGTGACAAAGAGTCTTCAACTGAGTCATGTGTGTTTCAGGGAAAGTCAAATGTGAGTTCTTGACTTCTTTTAAATTCTAATTTTTACATTTCTTTTTAGTCTACAAATACTCATTATTTGTTAATAATGCAAAACAAATCCAGCATATTAAGTGTTACTTTTTAATTGTATAAGTGCCTTTTTTTGCATAACACACCAGAAAAGGGCAGATGGTCAGAATTGGTCAAAGGCTTATATGACAAAATATAATATACTTTAAACTTTAGAAAAACACATATATAGAGTATATACTGACAGTATATGTCAGAATCAAATCTTATAATAACAGAACAAGACAACAAATATAAAGGAACAGTGTACTTAATACCTTGGTATTAACTTGCTTGGCTGAGGAAATAACAGTGTCGTCTGAAGATCAGAGCTGTCACAACCCCCAAGAATGAACCAGGGAGCTGCTGCAAGGGTGCAGCAGTTCTGGTGGAGGGAGAGTGTTAGACAAGATGTGCAACCAGAGAGTATTTATACATTTTTTTATAGAGAACAGAAGTGCACATTAGAATTTTACCTCTTCCTGAACTGCTTTTTAAAAGCATTCTACAGTACATGAACAACTTATCCCAGCAATATACAGATTTGTCTAACAATATTCTTATATTTTTAAAAAGTAGAACTGGGACATTCTGAGAGTTTATTTTGTCAGGTCTTTCAGAGCAGATCAGAATGTATAGTATAAAAAGCTTCAACCTTCCCATGAAATATGATTTCAGCCAACCGTATACTTAGTTAAGGTCTTAGTTTTTTTTTTAAAGCAACGTTTTCATATAGCAATTAATGAAAAAGGCCCCGACTAGCTCTGTTGGTAGAGCATGAGACTCATAATCTCAGGATAGTGGGTTTATGTCGCATGTCGGGTGCCAGGTCCTCCATGTTGGAGGTTGGGCACAAGGCTAACAACCCTGTCCTGTTAAAAACAAATGTTACGGAAATAGCAGCAGGATGTTGCTGCCCCTACATGCCATCAGGCATAATGGGCAAACATCCATCCATTAATGAAAGAAAAATATTTTGTCCATATTGTCATAATGGGGTATGTCATGTGCTATTACGCACCTGGTGTTATGGAAAGCTTTTTTACACTGCAACTGGAAACTAATTTTGAATGTATCTGCATTGTGGTACATTTAAATTTGAAGCACCAAAAGAAACTGAAGGCGCTGCTTCTAATAAGTAAGTGGAATGGCCATGTTTTGAAGAATTATATTACTTAATTAAATTAATTCAGTTAAATTCTATACATTTCAGAAAATGCAATCTTTTGTTCATAATCCATAATTTCACAGGTGTCTTGTCTAAATTCAAATACATTAAATTCACGTCCAAACACACACTTTGTCTGTTAATTTCAGTTGACCTGTTTTAAAATATGTAATAAACCTATAAAAAGACATTTAATTTAACTGACAATGACTTCTGTTATTTCATTGCACATATACTGTAGTACACATCTGACAGAGGCTGTTGATTGGATGACAAAAAAACATATTTAATACAGGCAAATGGGAATTGAACAATCAAATATAATCTTTGCAACTAATATATTTGGCTTGTTAAATACTAAAATACTTTAAACATCTCCACCTGCTGTTATTTGAATGTTTACTGTGATGTTACTACTACTCTAATTATTGAAAGTATTAATAGTAATAGAAAGTTACCTGTTGTGTATTCATCAGTTGCTTTTTAGAATATAGTTTTTTGAGTGCATGTTTCTTTCCATTATTAAAACTAATCAATGAGATATTTCACAAAGCTTTTCAGTAAGGAGGTAGCATTTGCTCTTTTATTGACACCAAAGTCTTAAATAGAAACTGTAAAGTTCTGAATGTGTGTTTAACTTGGCTGTCTATGAGATCAGACATAAAACTATACAATTAATTTAATAAATGCCAGGACTTTCTGACAACCAATGCACAAAAAAATGCTTGAAAAGAGACAAAAATGTAATCGACATGTATTTCTTTGAAATCTCAATATCAATTAAGTGTTAAGTGTTTCAAAAACAAATCTGTAACATAAAAAGAATGTGCAGTTTTTCTTAAAAAAATGTTTCCTTTAAAATCACAAGTGGACACAAAACACAAAGCAATATTTTCAAGGCAGCTGTCAAGTGAAGAATTTAAATAAGTAAAACATTTAAATAATTTTCTTGTGATTCTCGTATAAAACATCTTCATCCTATCTTTTAAATACTGTATGTAGAATTATTTTTGGCTTGTAATTATTGGCAGAAAAGGTTGCCCAGAAATTCCCTTGTGTTAGGTGTATTTAATTTGAATAGTGCTATTAATCATATGTATATATGTACAGTATGTATATGTATATGTTGTACTGTATATGTTGACCTCAGAAAGCATTATAGAATTGTATTGCATTTACTTCAAAGGCCTAAACATTGACTTTTCCTGTGCTGAAGAAGATACAGTAGACTCAAGAGTAACATAAACTTATTGTACTGCAGCAAACTGTATGTAAATTCCTCAATGAATGTTAATTTTCAGTGTTCAACCTACCTGTACTATTATGACGCTTCAGTTCTCAGTGATTTACTTTAATTATTCCAACATTCTACTATAATAAACCTTCCTGAGTCTATGTCAGTATTGTTTATTTCTTTACATTTTCATTAAAACAAACCTCAGACACCTCAAGTAAAATGAAAGTAAGGATACATTTGGAGGGATCAAATTTTATGACACTGTTAATGCCAGCTAAATTAAAGAACAAAGGAATAGAGGCAAATTTTCAGAGACCTGGCTGCTACAGGACCTAAGTCTGAACTGTGACTTATAAATAAATGTAAAAACTATATGTATTTCCATTATGTATTGTGCCTTTGCATTTGTTTTCTGAATTGTCCGTGAGCCTTTGCTTTTCTGCTTCTCCACCTGTTTGCTGTAGACTTCAATTCACCAGATTGTTAAAATAATAGTTGATACATGCCTGCACAGAGAAAACCTTTAATCCTCTAACAGTAGTGATATAAAGTGCTGTATACATCATATACTGTATATGCTTTGCTTGTTTAAATATTGCTGCAGTATACAGTACAAATTCAGATTTATTTTCTTTCTGGTGAGTAGCATTCTTCAGTATTTTCTTGGTTATGTCACTCAATTAAATATGAATGTGAAAATATTTTTTTTCAAAACTGATTATGCAGTGCACTGAATAGGTTTTCACCTTTTCACATTTTGATGAATTATGTGTAATGTACTGTAAAACCATTTTTTTTCAAATTACCTTTTTTATTTAAAACTGTAATGATTAAACTGAAGAGTATTATATTGGAAAGAGACTAAATATGAGCAAAACCTGCAAAAAATATGCTATCCAGTATTTATACTTTTATATACAGTATATTATATGTGTAGTTTTACAGACCTGTACTGTATGCGGTGAACGCCACTCTGGCCACAATTATTGTCTTTTAAAAAGCTCTAAACATACTGTAGATACCAGCTTTGCACGGTATAAAAATGTATTTTTATTAATTGTTCCTGGGAAAATTGCACCAGTTTTCATAGGTTCATTAGGGATCTTCAGCTTTCACCATACATTTTCTATTGGATTCAAGTTGGGACTTCGATTGGGCCACTCAAGAACATTTGAGTGTTGAGTGTTGAACAAGGCTCTTCATTTATAATCAGTGAGGTTTTGGCCTTGGACTTCAGATTTTTGCCATGCTGAAATTTGAAATTTTCACCATCATGCTTGAGAGCTGTAATGGAGCTGACTGGATGATATTCTGTGTTGTATTTGTTAGACAAAAAATGTCAATTTTGTTTGATCGCATACCTTCTGCAATATCATGGAGATTCTTTTTTTTCAAGTTCTATAGAACAATCCACATGAGTTGCCATTTCAGGCAACTTTGTGTAGAGACTAGGATATTATCCTAGTACTGTATGATCATTGACTTCCATCTCAGACACAATACTTTGTTAAGTCACTATTGGCAACCCTAGCTAGTTTCCTGCTTGCCCAGCTGCTCAATTTGAAAAAGGTGTCTTGATTTGGAAATGTTAGGGTTGTGTGATATGCATGCTACTTCTTAATAATCAGTGACATTGTAATTTACTTTTAATCTGTGCTTCTCTTCCACTATATCTATACATTTTCCAAAGGTTTTTTGGTTTTCATGGTTGGGCAGTCGTATCATTATCTGAGTTGAAGCTTGAAATTAACTAGCTAT